GCCAAGGATGAGTCAGCACCACACTTTCTGTCAAGAGAGATAGGTGAGGACTCAGCTGCATCGCACTTACCATCAGGTGAGAAGGATGCTAACCTTGATGATACTTCAGGTCTGCGGAAATCTAAGAAAAGCCGCCTAAATAAAATTCCTGATCCTCATTTTCATGAAGAAGTTCAGGATGATGCAAATGTTGAGGAGAAGAAGAAGGCGGTGGAGAAGATAAGAGAGGTCAGAGAGGATGATGGAGAGAAGAAATTGGAGGCTGAAATCCAAGAATCTTTTCCATCTGAAGTAGTTGTTGATCCTGATCCAGTGGAAGGTGACAATACCTATGAGTTGCATACTTCACCTTTGAGGTTGTTTGGAGAGCTTACAGGAGAACCAGGTATTGGTTTTTATCAACAATGCTTCAGGGAAACTCACGCGAGATTGTTGAACCATGTTTGTTTCAGAAAAGGTGAGCTTTCGAGTCCTCACTCTCAGTCAAGGATCAACGAGAACGACTTTGTTCGATCCATTCGAAAGGTCTGTCCAGTACCTCCACCTGATTGTTATGAGGACAGCTCAGAGCATGATTTGAAGAGATTTTTCATCAATGACGACCGCATCATTTATTTGGATGACAAGTATCAGGTCGATCCAAGGACCCTTGAAAGGGCAGAACAAGCTCGAGCAGATTTGGAGGATACAAAGAATCAACTTAGAGAAGAACTGGAAGAATATGGTCCTAAGGGACCTAGTTGGGACTTTGTCACTTTCTATGAAGAGCTGTGCAAAAGATTCCTCAAAGGAAGAATAGAAGAACAATATGAAACTAACTTATTGGCCAGCTCAGAGTCCCTGACATTTTTATCCTGGAACTATGGCAACATGGTTCGTGGTCAGAAATACACCACACCAAAGTTTCTCCAAGGACTTGATCGTGCAATGAAGCCACGCAGACAGAGCGACATGTCGCTTCAATATGAGCAATTTGAAAACAACCTTTTCTTCAACATGCTCTTCTTTTTACGTGCACATGTCGTGATTCTCCAGGAAGCTCATCTCCTTGTTCCTGCCAAGGATTTTATTGAGCCAAAGAATTGGACAGTTTGTTTCAATGATTGGGAGAATCTTGCAGTGATGGCTAGATTGGCACCAGGTGGATATGTCAAGATCATTGCTGGACATGATCAAGAACTTGGTCACTGTCCACAGCGTGATGTAACTTGGGCTATCTACGAGATTTGTTTTGGAGAAACAAGGCCTCGTCAAGAATTCAAGGACGCAGACTTTGAATTTGCGGACTATGGTCCTCAGGAACAGCGTGTTCCACTTACTCGAGCGAACATGCATACCATCAGAGTCTGTAATTATCATGTTGATACACACCGTGCTGTGGATGCCCACCTATTGACAGGAGAACAGACAGCATTGATGCTTTATGAGTGTTTTGTATATGAGGTGGACATCATTTCTGGTGATGCAAATAGTTTGGCCTACAGAATGTCTGGATACAAAAGGCAGCCAATGGCTAACTATTATTATAGCACCATGCAGCATTGGATCCGCAAGTTTTCAGAAGCCCGTGTAAAAGCAGATCCTGGTATCAAAGCACCTATTCCCAGAACATTTTACAGTTCATCTTCACTTGTCCTCAAGCAGTGTGAAGATTACTTTGAGAAACTCTGGGAAGAATACTCTACAGAAGAAAAAGAAGTGTACCAGGGATCAAAGCTTGGCGATACATGTTTGTCCACCATTGTTGAATGGGGTCATTCAATGAGTGGAGAGGAATATTCAAATTCCACAGTGAGCACGAAGGAGTTCGTCTGTAATTTTTCAGAGAACTTTGCTCTGATTGACACGGAGGTTATGTGCTCAAAACCCTCTGATGATGACAGTCATGGTCCTATGTTTATCTCACTCAGACCAGCTTCCTTTTCATCTGGGGACAGAAGGCTTTATCGCTCGGGCGAGACTCTTCGAGATGCTAACTTGCGAAGGAAGGAGAGACAGAAAGAGAATAAAAGGAAAGGAAGGCCGCCGACTTCTGATCAAGCAGCTTCATCGACTGCAGCGGCATAAATTCAGAGCGGAGGCTAAAATTTAAACGATGGCTAGGAAGTGAAGATACTTCTGATTACAGTTGATACTTTGCTTCCAGGCTTGACTTTAAGTTGCCAGGCTGAAGTTTTAATGAATCCTGATTTGCAACAAGGAGAAACTTTTTATCAAAGAAGATACTCCTGCATTCCAGGTCTTAAATAGCCAGAGCTCTAAAGGAACTATAAATTCAAAGGAAAGCGGCTTCCTTGCACAGAGACCTATAAAAGCAGTAAACGACACTCGCGTAACGAAGAACTAAAATTTCAAGACCGCGCAAACTGCAATGAATTAAGATGCCTTGCAAAATGCAAGGAGCGTGAATGATTCGGTCCGAGGAATGTTCTTCTCGAAAAGTGGTCTCGGCCGCTTCCATACACAGGACTTATTCCAAAATGAAAATGCATCAAAAGGACTCTCTCACATTGACACCAAAATCAGCCAAAAACAAAAAGGAAGGAGACACCGGCAAATGTATGTACAAAAACTTGCACTACAGATGCAAACTCATAAAATGACTTAATCATCAACCATAAATGGTTGTCCATTAGAGGTCATTTCAAAAGAGCGGCTGTGGTAGATATCATCAGTTCTGTAAAACTGTCCATACCTACCTGCAGATAATAACCGTTTAGTAAACTGTATTTATCTTATTGAGCGCCGGTACATGGTATCTTCGCCGGTGAACGATACAGTCTCCAGCCGAGATACATTGTCTTTGACTTTGTATTTGAGGTGAGTAAGCTATCGCTCCCTCACTGTATTTAGTATACCTAGAGATTACCTTTTCTAAAGTGTGCAATACACTGGAATTGGTAAGTACAGGGCACCGTGGTTTCCTTTTTACGCTTATTAGAGCTTGCTGGACTGTTTTAGCCTTGCGGTAGAAAAATAGTGTGCGACATACGCAATAGGCAGGAGTGGACATGAATTTTGTGCCTGCTGAAATGTAGAGGCCTACTTGTACAGGTTCCACTCCAATGGCCTATCTAGTGTGTCCATGCTTGACTGCCATAAGGCTCAAGAGGATAAGACTCTGCGTATAAAAGACACTAGCGGTCTGCACCTCAACCGTGTACGCCCTAGTCACTCTTTCACCCCTCCCCCCCCCACTGTAGGTCTGTAGGTAGTGGTGGTGGTAGTAGTAGTAGTAGTAGCAGTAGTAGCAGCAGTAGTAGGTAGTAGGTAGTAGGTAGTAGGTAGTAGGTAGTAGGTAGT